TAAATGACTTGTCTTTCTTGAAAATCGAGCATCTAAGTTCGACATATCCTTAATTCAGCACCCTTTGTGAATGAAGAAAGAGCCACACCAACTCCTTCCCCTGCAAAAGGTGAAATTTAGTTAGAATTCAACTTACAATAAGGAGACTGATTCTAAATTTCAATCTTTCATCGACCAGTGAATTCGAGTTTTTTTATACTTTGCAACAACATTGTCAAATGCAAAAAATAGTTCAAATTTTGCTAACCAACATTACTATTGTTGGTTAAATTCAAATCAATAAATCAAAAGTTAGATTCCTTTGGGTAGTGGGAAATTTACCCCCTAGGGACCTAGACATAGTTATTATTGTAACTCTTAATATTCTATCATACGACTCTATATCCATCACATTGTATCTCATTGTAAAACTTAGTAGGACAAAACTTATAAAGAAAAGAAAGTTAATAGTTCACTCTCATTCTCTTCATTTTTCTTCAAATTGGTATCAGAGTGCATGGCAAATATGATGGGTCAGATGCCACGACCACGGATTTCAAAGTCGAACTATGAAAACTGGAGTATCCAGATGAAGGCGCTGCTGGGATCGTTAGATGTATGGGAAGTGACTAACGATGGGTTTGAAGAACCATCAAATACGACGACATACACAACTGCTCAGAACAAGGCGTTGAAAGAAACGTGAGCAAGGGACAAAACAACATTGTACATGCTGTTCAGAGCAGTTGATGAATCATCCTTCGAAAAAATTGTTGGTTCGACTACGTCGAAGGAGGCGTGAGACACGCTAGAAAAGGCCTTCAGAGGAGCAAATAGATTCAATCAAGTTTGCTTGAAAACTCTTCTAGGAGAAATGGAGAGAATGAAGATGAAGGAGACAAAGTCTGTATCAGACTACATTACTCGTGTGCAGACGATGGCAAATCAACTCAATCGAAATGGAGAAGCAACATCTGATGCTTGTATTGTCAAAAATATTATGAGATCTTTGACAGACAAGTTTGAAAACATAGTATGCGCAATAGAAGAGGCGAAGGACCTTTCAACAATCACTGTCGAAGAAGTCGCTGATTTGCTTGAGGCACGTGAATAGCGTAAAATAAAGAAGAAGGAGAGGAGGAATTTGAGGATGCAAAACCCAACAGAGATGAAAATGCACTTTTCTCTCAAAATTGGCGTGGGAGAGGACATGGTCGTAGAGGACATAATGATGGTCGAAGTTACCAAAATAACAACTTCGATAGAGGATAATCAAGCCAACAAAACTGGCGTGGTAGAGGACGTGGCCAGAGAGATGGTAGATTGAATTACAACAACATCGAATGTTACAAATGCAACAAACAAGGGCACTATGCGAAAGATTGCAACTCCTACAGTTGCTACAACTGTGGTAAAACGGGACATCTTTCAAAAGACTGTCGATCCAGAAGAAAGGTAGAAGAAACAACAAATCTTGCCCTAGAAACTGAATCGAATGAAGGATTTCTATTAATGACTCAAAAGGAAGCAGAAGCAGAAAATGACACTATGTAGTACCTGAACTCAGGAGCAAGCAACCATATGTGTGGTCACAAGCACTTGTTCAAAGACATAAAGAAAATCGAAGACGGTCATGTTTCGTTTAGAGATGCGTCAAAAGCAAGAGTCAAAGGAAAAGGAACAATTTGTTTGTTGCAGAAGAATGATTTGATAGGATCAATCCAAGATGTGTACTATGTACCAAACCTCAAAGAAAATATTTTGAGTCTGGGGAAACTCACTGAAAAGGGTTACTCGATTCTCATGGAAGATCGAAGCCTGCATTTAGAAAACAAGCCAGGACATCTGGTTACTCAAGTCGAAATGGGGAGGAATTGAATGTATAAGTTGAACTTGAGAAGCATTCGAGAAAAATGCTTGCATGTCAATATCAAAAACCAAGCATCCCTGTGGCATCTTCGATTTGGTCATCTATACAAACCTGGACTAAGGAGGTTAGCAAAGAAAAATATGGTGCATGGACTGCCAGATGTAGAATTCGAAGGAAAATTCCGTGAAGAATGTGTGTTTGGCAAACAGACGAAAACTTCATTCCCAAGGAAGGCAGAATATCAGGCCAAACAAATTCTGGAATTGATCCACACTGACATATGTGGACCAATTACCCCAGAATCCTTCAGTGGCAAAAGGTACTTCATATACTTCATTGATGATTTTTCAAGGAAAACTTGGGTGTATTTTCTGAAAGAAAAGTCTGAAGCCTTCGAAGTATTCAAGAAGTTTAAGATAATGGTTGAAAAAGCAACAGACAAACACATCAAAGCCCTTCGATCAGACAAAGGTGGGGAATATACTTCGACAGCCTTTATGAAGTATTGTGAAGAGCAAGGCATAATAAGATTTCTGACTGCAGTTTACTCACCCCAACAAAATGGTGTAGCAGAAAGGAAGAATCGAACAGTCCTTAACATGGTTCGATCAATGCTGAAGAGCAAAACCATGTCGAAGGAGTTTTGGGCAGAAGTTGTACAGTGTGCAATCTACGTTCGAGTAAACGAAGGAAGCAAGTGGGACTGGGACAATTCAAATGAGGTTGTGGTCGAAGTACCAGAGGCTATATCAAAAGACACTTTGACATATCCAGAAGACTCTGATGATGAAGAAGGACCCTCACAGCCCAGGTTGCAAAGCTTACAAGACTTGTATGAAAATACAGAAGAAGTGCATCTGGTATGTTTATTGGCAGACACTGAAGATGTCAGCTTCGAAGAAGCAATAAGAAACAAAAAATGGAAGGATGCTATGAATGAAGAAATTAAGGCCATCGAACGCAATGATACTTGGGAACTAGCTGATTTACCAAAAGGAAGTCAAGCAATTAGTGTGAAATGGGTGTTTAAGAAAAAGATAAATGCACATGGTGAAATTGAAAGATTCAAGGCACGACTTGTGGCGAAAGGATACAGGCAGAAAGCAAGAATCGATTATGATGAAGTCTTCGCACCTGTTGCGATAATGGAGACTATTCGACTGCTCATATCTCATGCTGCTCAATACAAATGGAAAATACATCCGATGGATGTCAAGTCAGCCTTTCTAAATGGCGTGCTCGAAGAAGAAGTTTACATCGAACAACCCCCTGGATTCATGAAAATTGAAAATGAAGGAAAGGTGTTAAAGCTGAAGAAGGCACTTTATGGGCTGAAGCAGGAACCACGAACATGGAATACTCGAATTGACACATACTTCAAAGAAAATGGATTTCAGTAATGTCCTTTCGAACATGCCTTGTATGTGAAAAAGAAAAAAGATAAAATATTGTTTGTTGCTCTCTATGTTGATGATTTGATTTTCTTGGGCAACAACAATCAGATGGTCGAAGAGTTCAAAGGCACAATGACAAAAGAATTTGAGATGACTGACCTAGGCATGATGAAATATTTTTTTGGTCTGGAGGTTCAACAGGATGAAACAGGAATCTTCATCTCACAAGAAAAGTATGCAAAAGATATCCTGAAAAGATTTAAGATGGACAACTGCAATCCTATTTCGACACCAATGGAGCCAGGAGCAAAGCTTTCGAAATTTGATGGGGGGGGGGGGCGTGTCGAAACAAACAAATTTCGAAGCTTGGTGGAAAGCCTTTGATACCTCACATGCACAAGGCCAGATCTTCCGTTGAGTGTTGGAATTGTGAGTCACTTCATGGAAGAACCAGTTGTTGCACACTGTAAAACTTTGAAGAGAATCCTTCGATATGTCCAAGGAACTGTGTGACTTGAAATGTTCAATTCGAAAGTAGAAGAATACAAGTTAACTGGCTACTCTGATAGCGACTGGTGTGGTGACATTGATGATCTAAAAAGCACTTCAGGCTATGTATTCTTCATGGGAAACACTGCTTTCACCTGGCTGTCAAGGAAGTAACCCATTGCAACTCTTTTGACTTGTGAAGCAGAGTATGTAGCAGCATCCTGGTGCGTATGCCATGCAATATGGTTGAGAAGACTGCTTAGCAAGATGAAATCGAAGCAGGAAGCTGCAACAATGATTCGAGTTGACAACAGATCTGCAATCAAACTGGCGAAGAATCCAGTCAACCATGAACGAAGCAAGCACATTGATGTTCGACTCCATTTCATTCGAGAACATGTGAAAGATGGAAGCATCGAACTGAAGCATGTTGCAAGCAAAGGTTAAGCAACAGACATCCTCACAAAACCACTGTCGAAGGAGCTTTTCGACAGAGGCAAGCAAATGTTTGGGATGAGTGATTGAAGGTATGGGTGTTCAAAACCAAATCGGCCCAATAAAAAACCGCAAAACCGAACCGAACCAAACCGAAACCGCAAAAAACCGTATTTGGTTCGGATGTGTTTGGGTTATTTTCTCGTGGAACCGCATGGTTCGGTTTGGTTTGCAGTTTGTATTTTACAAACCGAACCAAACCAAACAAAACCGCATTATGTTATAAAATCTTACTAACCAATATATATTTCTATAATTCTTTAGAGAAATCAACATGTATTATGTGTATATTTTATCATACTTTGTATTATATTCATTTTAATTTACAAATCATAAAAAATAAAATATTATTCATTTATAAATACTATTTTCACAAAATATATTTTATCATATTCTTTGTATAATATTTATTTAAGAATGCAATCTTGTTGATATCATTATTTAGATTTAGATAAAATTATAATACGCAATTTTATGTATCAAATTATAAATTTATTTTGACAATTATAAATTTTTTATGGTAATGTATGAACAATTAAATATAAAATTATATTTTCCTATATATTTGTATGTATGACATAATAATTATTTTTGTAAAAAACCAAAACAACCGAACCAATCTAAACCGCATTAGTTTGGTTTGGTTCGGATTTATTTTTAAAAACCAACCGAACCAAACCAAACCGCATATTTTTTTCTCTTGCGGTTCGGATGATTTTTTGTCCGGCCAAACCGCACCACGAACACCCCTAATTGAAGGTATATTTGAATTTTTATGAGAGAGTTTTGTTAGTTAAACTCAAATCAGTCTTGGGTAAATCAAATGTCAGATTCCTGTGAGCAGTGGGAAATTTACCCCCTAGGGACCTAGACATAGTTATTGCTGTAACTCTTAATATTCTTTCATATGACTCTATATAAATCACATTGTATCTCATTGTAAAAGTTAGTTGGACAAAGTTTATAAAGAAAAGAATGTTAATCACTCTCATTCTCTTCATATTTCTTCAACTATTGCATCGCCATTTGACAATATTTTGTATCCATTATTAACTATACATATTCTTCATGATGTATGCATTATCAACATGTGTAGCAGTAATGTTTCATCATCAATTCTGACGACTGGTGCTTTACTTCGATCAAGTATAAGTTCTTCATGATTAACTTTTATCCCATGAAATTTCATGCTAACACCAAAGTATCTTCAGCGGGGAAACAAAATAACACAACTCACATCCCTGCAAGAGACTGAGATCATACAGAGAATCACGATTTGCGATCACGTTGCAGTTTCAGAACATCAAAAACTGTATCATAAAAATTATTGTCATTTTATATTTTAGATATTATGTCAACAGTAGCTTCAACTTCCTTGTCTGCTGCCTGTAGAGAGATGTCACCAATTCAATCTTGTTATTGTTTATTCAAATGAAAAGCTGATAGAAATAGTTATCGCTAACATAAACTAAATATAAGAGGTTAACAAACCTTATCGTAAAGATACTTAAAAGCAATATTCTTCTTAACCACTTTCAACAAAAGTGTTATTAGTAACACCTGAAACATGCACAAACAATAGCCAACCATTAAAAACATGTTAAATTTTAGCAAACTATGAAGAGAAGAGTACTTTCAATTGTCACAAGAAATGTAACGGAAAACAGCTTAAAAGAATAAAATATAATGGATATAATAGAGTAAGAGAATTTCTTGAAATGAAGTGAAAAGAAAATTTTGGTTGAAAGCAATGACTCAAAATTTAAGAAGCACTCATCAACTATCACAAGATATATCATATGTAATGGTTATGCAAGTCGTTATTTGGTTGGTAAAAATACATAAATCAATCATACTGCACAGTAAACGAAAATTTACCTCTAAATTACTTAACATCTTCACGGTAACCGGAATAAAATAAAGTTGCATAAAACATGAAATCAACCCTTAAGTTATCATTAAAATAAAGACACATAGAGGTAAATGGTGACAGATCAAAGATAGCGCACCGTCTTTGCCCATTTTATCTACTTGATACAAATTCATGTGAAGAATTTATCAACTTTTGCTGCATTTAGAAAGATTCCTTCAGACGAGTATCGACACCATAGGTTCAGGCGCAAGGTCTGTTGCATTTTCATCAGTTCTGTCTCACAAGTTGTTATGCCAAATCAGTTCTGAGCGATTTTCTTCGACAAATTTGTATAAATTCTCAAGAGGTATCGATAAATCATATTTGTAAACAGCTTTTGCATTCATCAATGTCTCTGATATACCCTATCACAACTTAGTAAGATTTAAAAAGCCAAGAACTTTGGTGGTCTTTTCAGCAAAAAACAATGAAAATTTTCAAATCGAAGTTAAATTTTATTGACTGACGATAGAACCATTCTTGAAAAAAGAAAACTTCATACGGTAAGGACTTTACTTGTCCGAAGATTCATCACTTCCGTTTGTCTCGATCAAAACATAAAACTCATGTATTGAATTAGGAAATGGTCATTTTGAACCCCACTCTACATAAAACAAAATACAACAATCAGTGATTACTTTCTTGTTGGTAAGGATTGCTCATTTGTGATGAACAATTCCGATGACATAAACATCTACTAAACGCATCAAAGGTGCTGATAAACACACCTTTTTCAGCTGTCTCTAACAATATTAGTGATATAAAATATAAACATTGAAATTATTTTTGAAAATCACTTAATAAGTATTGTCTAAATCTGTCGCACAAAAATTGATGAGGTGGGTCAATTTTCACAAATTCTACACAACAACACTTACATTAAGAGTAGTTAGAGGAATTTTCACTTATCTCACGATACAATCAAAATAATTTTCATCTTTAACACCAAATATAAAGATCCTCTTCTTCTCAATAAGCTCGGAATGAATCTTAATAACCTACAACACACATTTAAATCTACAAAATCAAATTAAAAATATAAACAATCATACAAAAAAATAGTTAAAAAATTCTTATAATATCTTCGGCTCTGTAAAACTATTGAGCGGTAAAAAATAGATCTTTGTCTTCAGATTCGAAGAACTCGACAATCCTTGCAATATAATCAGGTTTATCATCTTCCTCCTAAAACAACACAGTTTAGAAAATCAACACTGTAAGAAAACCCCCAATCAACAAAATAAATAAACCCTAAAACCCTAAATCTTTAACATTGAATAACATTGAACATGCCTTAAGGCAAATAACGATGTTGGTGGCAAAATATGTACGGTGGAATCGAACGGGTGGACAGAGGAGGAACAATGAAAACCTTTTTTGGCGAAATAGAGATTTAAGCATATAAGAATAACATATTTGTTGAACAAAAGAAGAAAGAAGAAGAAGAAGAGAGGCAACGAAAGAGAGAAGAAAGAAGAGGAAGAGAGAGGCAGTGAAAGAGAGAAGAAAGGAAGAGGTAGAGAGAGATAGAGGAATAAATGGTTATGCAAAACCGTCATCTTTTCACGTTGGTAATTGTCGTGCAAAAGGTAGAAAAAGAATAAGAATCAATAGTGGTACGGAATCAGAAAAATATACGAAACAACAATATTATTCAATTATTCAATTAGATTTTTTTCAATAAAACAGAAGGTAAATGCTGAGGCCAGCCACGTGGCAGCGTGTGGAAAGAGATAGATATATTTATATATAGGATTAAATATAATGTTATTCTCTATAAATTAATAACGCAAATAATTTTAGTTTATGTTATTCTTTTTTAAAATACTTTTATAGTCTACCTTATTAAGTGAATACATAATATGTATTTTACAAACATGTTTATAAGATGAATCTTTTATATTGAATGAACACGTAGAGTAGAAAAGGGAGAGACAAATTGAGCATAATATTCTTACTTTTGATATTGTGTTCATTGCATTTTGGAGAAGTTACAGTTTTCCTTTTATACCAGTTATGCTAATCAAGTTAGTTACACATCTTATCTTGAAGTTAGTTACATAATCTAACTAGCCTAACTAATTCGCTAACTACTTAATTTATACTCCAATAAAGTTCCATGTCTCTAATACATATAAGATAGAATCCCGACACAGTTTTGTTGTATGTCTCCTATGCTTTCTGATCTTACCTGATCTTACCTGATCAGACTTGGACCGTCACGACTGGCTCCGAGCAGAAGTTGAACGAGATGGAGGGGGGTACCTGCAAGGCACTCCGATGCTAAAGTGAGTGGTAGTACGAGCAGGCAAAAAGTATATAGGTGTGTAACGAATGAATACCTGACCCTCTAGGAATAGAGGGTATTTATAGCCCCCAGCGCGGGGCCAAGGTCCCTTCATTGGGCCGACCAGGACTGGCCTAATAAAGGAACTGCCAGGTTCTACGTGTGTAGTGGGGACCCGCACGTGGTCCCCTTCTTGGTGATGCTCTGCGAGAAGTACGGAGGGACGAGGACGCGGTCTTTCCGGAGTTTAGGTGATGGAGTAACGGTCATAGTTTGCCCTACGAGGAGGGTGCTCGAGCTGGGCTCGAGCTGGATCTCATGTGGTCGAGGACGTCATGTTCGCGGGCAGCGGCGGGCACGACTGCAGCTTCTGATCGACGCACTGGCGAGAATCTTCGAGCGCGCGCTCCTTGAAGAGTTGCTTGGATTGGGCCTTCGTTCTTGCTCTTGGGGCAGGACGGGCCCAGTCCAGAACAGGAGCCCCCCAAGTCGTAGCTCCTGGAACAGGAGTTATGACTTGATCTCAGCTCGTCTTTGTCACGGGGCCTTATGCTCGGCCAGGATATTTGCTTCCCCGTGGTAGCTCGAGGAGTTTCTCATGTGTTTCGTTCGTGAGATAATCCCTTTCGAGGCGTGCTCGGGGGATTCTTTGCGGGTTGTGCTCGTTGGGTATGCGAGGCAACCCTTGGGAAGCGTGACGCCACCCTATTGAAAGTAGAGCCATCATTGCCTAGGGGAGTAGGCGTCGAGGAGGGGAAGCTCGTGGTTCCCCGAGGTGACGTTTCGTATTCCACGTCATCCCTATAAATAGGATCCTTGGGTCCCATAATCTGTTTTTCCTCTTCGCGTTTCTCCTCCTTCCTCTGCCTTTGTTGCCGCTGTTTTTCCAGAATTTCATAGGACCACCGTGCTTTCCGCCGTCGATTTTCTTCCCTGCCGCCGTACATCCTTCCTAACTTCCAAGTAAGCGTTTTATCCCTCATATTTTTCTCTGTGGTAGGTGATTTTTTCCTTTATTTGTATGTTAGAAATCTGTATCTGGGATTAATGCCCGGTACATTCGTGTTCATGCCCGATATGTTCATGTTTTTGCCCGATAAACGCATGTTTGTGCCCAGTGAACGCATAGCTTTAGGTATGTGACTTGCGATGCTGCCTGGGATCTTCATGGTTTTGGGCGCATAACTTATGATACTGCCCGGTAAACCCATAGTTCTAGGTTTTAGGATTCATGATATTGCTCGTCATATTCATAGTTTAGGTCGACGTACTCATGACTGGACGGGATGTTGGCCCATTTAGGCAGTATGTAGGACGACTCGTCGTGGCACCTTGGCGTCGGGAAGGTGAAACCAGGCTCTTGTTCGAGTCCTCAACGTTTTAACGTGCGCGGAGTATGACTTGGCTTGTCGTGCCTTTCTTCCCGTCAGTTATGGCGAGCGTATGGATTTGCTCCCAAATTGATCGGTTTCCTGTGCTTTGCAGGTAAAATGGCTGATGAATCGGAGTCCTCGGGGCACAACGAGGTCGAGGACCAGAGTGCCGAGGAAAATGTAACTCTAATCGATACCGTTGATGATCCTTTGCTGGATTGGGTGGGCGCCGAGCCCAGGGGGATTGCCTCGGCATATAGTCGGCGCAGTCGGAGTGCCTACACTATCGTCGAGCATTGCGGTAGTCAACCGGGCTTTCAGAAAAACTTTATGGTCACCAGACCGTCTCTTGACGCGCGGATATGCTCGGAGTTCTCTGAGTATGGGTTTCCCATGTATGAAGTCGTGTTCAAGGACCTCGGTCTCAAGCTCCCCTTTAGTGATTTCCAGGTCGGGGTATTCAGTCATCTGGAGTTGGCCCCCTCGCAGCTCCACCCCAACTCGATCGCCTTTCTTCGGGCTTTCGAGCTGACGCGTCGCTTTTTAAGGATTGGGGCGACCATCCCTCTCTTCTTCAGAGTTTTTCATTTGCAACGCCAGTCTCGGGGAGGTAGGCATAGTTGGGTTTCCCTGAAACAGTCGAAGAGGCTGTTCAGGATGTACATGGACTCGGTCCGGGGTTTCAAGGACAAATGGTATGTCGTGCGGCCGATCACCCAGACTGCTCTGGATTCTCTATATGAAGAAGAGACTGCAGTGACAGACGATAACGGGGAGCCTCTTATGGACGATGAGGGTCGACCGGTGTTGGGGCGCGTAGCTAAGTTCCCATTACATTGGAGCTCGCGCCACTATGAGCATGGTACCGGGCATTACCATACGCCCGCGGGAGGGATGAGTACTGAGGACGAGGAAGCCTACGGTACCCTTTGCAGATATGTCGACAATTTCTTCCCTTCCCGGTGGGCCATGAGGGAGGGAAAGGACATTCTCGACGAGGATGGTTACCCGCCCTTCGAGGCCCGCCCTATAGATACCAAGGCACTTGTGGAGTGCCAGTCCTACGGGCAGGCCGCGAACCTACTAGGTTACTTTTTGTCTTATAGTTTTTTTCTAGTTTCTTCATTTGTTACTTGCCCGTAACTAACCCGGGTTTTCTTTTTTGCAGGTTATATGGCCGGACGAAAGGAGAGGCTTCTGAAGTTGACACAGGATAAGAAAGTCAACAAAAGGATGGTGCGAGCTCCACATGCGACGAGGATGGGCCCGCCAACTAGTTCGGGTGATGCTTCTGGCGAGTCCCCGGACTTCCAAGACGTCGAGCAGCATATTGATCTGATATCGAGGAAGAGAAACTGGGTAGAGATCCAGATGGAAGTCGGTGACGAGTCTGGAGCGGTGAGGGCCTTTGGCTTGCCCCCCTGCTTTAAAGAGGAAAGCTTCTTCGAGGGGTTTCCCTTGACTGTAAGTGCTGAGGAGGCGGACACCATCAGGCGGCTAAATAAGAAAGTAGGAGAAAGCATCTGGCCGCCAACATGGTCGGGATGGTTAAGATGGCCTAGATGGTCGTTGTCCTCGCTGAGGAGGGGGCAGATTCTGACCGCATCAAAGAACTGGAGCAGGAGAAAGCTGCCCTTGCTGCGGGCTCTCGAAAGTTGAAGGCTGCTCTGGAGCGATCTGAGGAGATGTTCCGTGAGCAAACCGAGCTGCTGGCTGCGGAGTAGGAGAACTCGGGGAAGGTTGCCGAGGAAAGGGACTACTTTCGACTGGACCGGGAACGCTTGGAGGCCGATAACGAGCGTCTGGCCAAAGAAGTCAAGGATCTGAAGGCCGCCATGCTCCCCGCCGAAGATGAGTCGGAGGAGACAGCCCCCTTGCGAAGTCGCTCGGATCTGGTCACGCGGATTCACCTCCTCGAAACGGACTGTGTTGGCGCCTTGGCGGATGGTTTTAAGGCTGCGGTTAGCCAGCTTACTTTATTGAATCCTGGTCTGAATACCGAGGGGGTGGGTTTTATGTCCCAGATCATCGACGGCCAGGTCGTGCCTCCGCCCGAGTCTCCTGTCGTGGATGCTGGTAGCCCCGGGGAAGTCTAGCCTGTGGAATTCTGGTCGGGCCTGTGCGCCTGTTTATTGATAGTTGTTTTTGGGGCCTGCGTGCCCGTGCATATTTTTTGGGCCTGTGTGCCCGTTCTTGTAATTTCTGAACATCGTCGGCCTTCTTGGTCGGTTTATTTCTATTTGTTTTTTGCTTACGAGCTTTTGAATGAATGTTTGTTTCGACCTTAATTATTTTCCCGTGTCTATGTTTTTATATTTTGTGATAAAATTTGCCTAAGTTATGTCCCCGAGTCTCGCCTGTGCTCGGCTGTTACTTTATGGCGAAATTCGCCTAAGTGTTTTCCTCGGGGCATGCTTGTGCTCAGCTTGCCATTTTGTGGAGAAATTTGTCTAAGTGTTTTCCTCGAGTGGAGATTCTTTCGACTCATTTGGTGGTCCGTCGTACTTCGAAATGCGTCGGGCGTGCAGAGTAAAGCCGCTTACTTGGGCGTATGACCCAGATCGGGGTCACTTGCCCGTGGTGTGAACTGCCCATCGCGAGCTGGGTGTTCTGCCATACGGGTACTTCGACGGTGGAGCTCGATTGAGGTGTCCATGTCGGGAACTGTCGTTCGTGCTTATTTCGGCAGAACGACGTTGTGTCGTTTGGGCGTAGATCGGGCCCGTACCCTGGCCTTTCTACGTGGTCGGGACATTTCTCTCTGTTGACTAGATTAGGATGTCCGACGATGAGAGTCCTTGGTGTTAAGGGTTTTTAACTATAGTACTGCTTTAGTTTAGCAGCATTCCAGGGTCGTGGCAGTGGTTCTCCGTCTAGTTGCTCGAGGTAGTATGCCCCG